ATTAAATAGGCATAAGAATTCAAAAAATGGGTATGACTAGATAAAAATATCACGTATGTGTTTTTCTTGTATTTATTTAAGTTTATATAAGAATCAATAGGCAGAGTATAATCAGATCTGTTCGAGGAAATCAACGGTTAGCCATAAGCATTGCTATATTGAGAAAAGGTTTATTGAAAGTAAGAGAGCCCGCTTTTCTGAAGCTATATTCGATGAGAAAAAAGTGAGAATTATTTACCCCATTTCGTTTAAGGTGATAAAGAACTGGTAGTCTAATTTTTTCACAATGATATGACTAGATCTTATGCTCACATAACCTTGGTTCCCAAAAGGTATCATCATCCAGGATAGACTGCAGTTTCGGCCTTGTCTAAGTCTTATCAACACCCCCAAAAGGACTCTAACCATGATAGTGCAGCGCGTAATCTCGACACGTTAACCACAACGCCACGTTGCCATTTGTGCCCTTGTACAACAGAGCAGATATACATTTTAAAGGAGGCCAGGCCTTTTCCCATATAATATTCATTGGTGGGATTGACGATTAATCAAACTTATATTTGCTACGATAATCACTACATTACTCATTTTGCATTTATAAGTAGGGCCTCGAAACTACGAGTAAAACAATTATATGAGATGTATTCAGCTACCGGTATTTCATCATCTTAAACAAAATATGGTAAATATATATAACTTATTTGCTGGTAGTCTCGGAACCTTACTTAAAAATAATAAAAAAATAAAAAAATAAAAAAAGTGAGTCTGATCCGTACCTGAGTGACTCGAAGTCTTACAAGTCGGCGTCCAAAGCGAATTACAGTCTCTCGGACAGTCGACTCGAGCTGATTCATGTCCTCAAGCGAAAGAGTTGGTACAAAGTTTAGGAAGATATGGTTCCCCGTCGTACGCTGTGCATCAGGATGTGTGAAAGCCATTTCAAGGGCATCCATTGACTCAAGAAGAACTCGCTCCGCCTCCGATTGAAGGAATTCAAAAGAAGCAGCATTCGAAAGCAAGTCAGCATGGCGAATGATGCTCCGCACGAAAAAACGATAATCGACGACGTCTTTGGGCCGGGATGCCTACAAATTGAGATGTAAAAATAAAAGCAGAGAATAGCTTGCACATATCAGAACCTACTTTAGAGATCGAGATGGACCTTTGATATGACGATAGCGGGCTACAAGTATTGCCCTTAATCACTAAATCAGCACAAGATCGAAAGAATTCGCTACAAGCTTTGTATATTAACCCCTTTGCTTCAGCTGAAAGATAAAGAAACCTATGATTCCAGGCGTGACTTAATTATTTAGAATGCTTTATAACGGTACAAATATGAAAATAAGTAAAATAAGACTTGTGATTTGATATAAACCATATATACTGAGTAGACTCGCAATTTAAGCACAACATGTACGAAAAGTAAGTGGGTCTCGGTCTATTGAGATAACAGCAATGTGGAAACCTTCATTTAGCATGAAAGTGCATAATGAAGAGATCCTAGGTAGATCTCATTA